GAGATGGGAGATATGGGAATGAATGGGGGAAGGGAAAACGAGTGTGATATATAATGTTGAGAAAATCTCCCGTGATAAGGCCGACAGTCAATGCAGCGATTCGCGATAAATTGTGCCTTATCCAGCCACGCCACACCAGCTCATCTAACGTATCAGCGTTGACCAATCTTAGCTGGCAACAATATACATATTGGAAAGATATAAAATATACCGGACGGGTTTGATAGTACCTTACTACGTTTCGTGAACTTCTCATGAGCCATTTCTTGGATTTTTTAAAGAGCACCTAAGCCCAATATCAACTGCTAACAGGCCTGTACATTCAGCAAACACAACATTAGCAAACATAAATATCAATTTGCATTTTCCCAAACTTAATACTAAAACCAAAAAACAGAAACATTGGCCCGCATCATGCCAAAACTAACTCGAAAATTCTCAGAGCCTTCGAAATTCATGAAATCGGACAAAAGTATGGCTCAAAATTATATAAATAAAGTATAGTTCCATAGAAGAAAATGTCAAAATATTATTCAGGCTAACCAATGAAAATGCTGGCACTAAGACGAAGAAGAGCCAACACTGGAGTTTATTCTGTCGGTGAGGAGCGCAATCTCTTTCAAAAGATAGTATTTCATATGCGTTTGAAAAAAGTGGCCTTTCGTTTCAAGAGCCAATTTCATCCGCTCTAACTCCCTCCTCATTTGTGAAAGACTTGTTCTCTCCCCTGGCTGTACATTCTCATGCTCAAACGGATTTCTTAAGGTATTATTACTGGGAAAAAAAAACACGACTGTCAAAATCGCCTATGAGAAGGCTAATTCTACTTCTTCTTCCTTTAAAAATACAATAAAATAAATGATATCAAACCAAGAAAATATCCGAGGATCAAGTTATGTCAGAAATTTCTAGCAATATCAATCATGTGAAGGACATAATAACATTTTTTCTCCATCTTACGACAGTTGAATTTAACGTAAGGTGGTAATTAATTAAGAAACAAAGATCCAAGTTATTTCAATAGGCTAGTTATTCAACTACCAAATTCAATTACAGATCTAGACCTTTGACCGTAAACAGAAAACAAAAACGAACAATTAAACAATGCTTATATCCATTTACTTGTCCGAAAGAACAATCTAATTAATTCAACGACATAATTTTAACAAGTATATCTGACTTACAGATCAATCCTTTCCAAGTATTGCACAGCTTGGCATACGGCATAGAGAACCATTGTTTTCACCTATTTCATTAAGAGTCGTTAGATGCTTATTTAGTATTATTTATGTACACGAATCATAGTTAGGCAGGAAACAAATATAACTAGAGAAAACTATACTTCTCATCCATACTTATCAATAATCTTTTCAATTTATATATTTTAGTTTTCAGTGAAGAAAATCCATTTTATATATTATTTACATTCATGAACTTACATACCTGCAATTTGTCTTCCTTAGAACTATGATTGTGAGGGAGACGCCGATATTCCGTTGATACACGGATGCACTCACCAACACTTTCAGGTGAAACGAAGTTAGCAGAGACACTTGTGCAAGACTGAAAGAGGAAAACACACAAAAATTAATTGCAAAGTTAGCATTAAAACGAAAAGAAATGCATATGCGAATGATTATTTATGAAGTTGTTTACATTGTTGTATACCAGTCGGATATTCTACTTGGCTTGTGTAACATTTTTTCAGACAATTTAAAATTAATTGAGGAACCAAATTAACGTTTAGCCATGCATAGTAACTAAAAAAGATGGTAGTCCGCGGTTTCGAGATATATCGAGTCTGTTAAGGCAATGTATATCATTTTGGAACAATAATTAACTATTTCATCTCTTACATATTTGCCTACAACAAAAAATTCAAAGAATCAAAGGAAAGGAGATAGTTGAAATAACAAGAGAATGTAAAACATTGATAAAGTGAGCAAATCCTTCTCATTTTTTTTCCAAGACGAAGTAACCAAACTCAAGAGCGCATTGATTGCATTAACTACAAACGAATAAACTACTTGAATAGCATAACAACCAAATATCACTAATTAGGACGATATATCGAACCTTTAAATTCCTAATTTGATAAGGGCAGCCAGCTGGTACAATAACTGCATCTCCTAATTTCTGAATAAAAGTCCATGGTTTGATTCCTACAAAGAAAGAAGTACCAGCATATATATAATTAGTATCCCTAGCAATTATCAATATTAAAATTTAAAATGCAGATAACATACTAACCATATTGTGCGTTCAGGTTCCTTTTATGCTCCACCGTTAAGTAAAATGCTTTCTCATGAATAGGGTGAAACAACTGCACATGAATAGAAGAAAAATAAATAAGTACAATTTTAATACTTCGCCAAAAAGAAAGAAGAATAAAAACCATCAACTAAATTTACATCTGCATATGAGAAATAATCCACAAAACGCCAAAAACGAAAGTTGGCAATCGTTCCATTAAACTCAAAGTTTAGAATATAATTACTTGTTGCAGAGGGAATATATGTCTGAACTGTCCATAATGCCTTCTAAGATATTCCTCCAATTTAGGAACATCTTGTCTCCTGAAAACGTCCCAGACAGCACCACCTCTTTGGTCATCGAACCTTTGCTCATTGTTTGCTGAGGTTGAAGAATCGATTTTTTCTTTTCCTTTATTTTTATTTTCCCTTTCACTTTGCTGATTTCTCATGACCTTTTCATTTGCTTTCTCATTACTTGCAGAAGATACAACTGGATCCTGGGCAGCAGTATGCATCAAGATATTGACCTGAAAAAGAAATTAGAAAACAAAAATAAGGAAAGTGAAAACTATGGACGATAAAATTTAAATAAGGAACATTGCGTTGACGACGCGCATAAAGTTTTTGTGGTGTTTTGCTTGAATGGAATATAATTATGTTGGAGATATTTATAATAAAAGATACATTTCACTAATAGCTTAAACTTTTGGTTGAGGTGGTCATTCGAGTTCGACCATCGCTACCCAATTCAAATATTTCAATGCAAGGCTTCAAATGTAATTCGTCAGCACTTGAGAGGGCGTGTTGGAGATCTTAATATTAAATGATACATTTCACTAACAGCTTAAGCTTTTGGTTGAGATGGTCATTAAACAAGTTCAAATTTGGACGATAGAGTAAAAGCACAATTTTACGATAGTAACATCGCACACAAAAATAACGATTATCATTGAGTAAGCTATTTAATAGATCTCTTCATATGAGTACCTATACTTTCTTTTTTTACAGGAAGTCGACCAAAAGTCGCAACTTAAAAGCAAGATATTTGGCTAAAGCTAAAATCAACTACCTAGGGAACTAATATTCTTGCATTTATTGTTATTGTATCATACTTGTTCCTCTGCCTTTATACTTATCATTTACATAAAAACAATAAGTCATAATGATTAATGCAATTGAATTATCAAATCGATTTGAAGAAAACTTTCCTTATTAATACACTTCCGGTTTTTGATATGGTCAGAAGATAAAAAGCTAAGTTTGTTACGGTTTTCAAATTATTTTCACAAACTTTTCCCAAAAAAAAATCATATGTTTCTCTCTCTAACAAACATGATTTCACTGCTACATTGAAAATTGTCTTCACTAAAATCACTTTGTCTTTCGAATTCTTCTTCCAAAATACCTTTTTCCAACACCTTTTAGACATGATTTGACTGACTGGCTACATTACCAATTGTCTCTTCTCAAAACTTAAACAATTTATTTTCTTTTCAAGTTCTTCTTCCAAAACATCGTTCTCCAGAATAAAATTGAAACGAAAGCCCAAAAGTTTACCAAACAAAGCCAAACTTATCCCACATCGCTAATTTATTGTACTACGATGCCGTAATAAATTTGTTAGGGTATAACTCATCTCCAAGTATAATATATATTAGAAATAGCTAAGATTTTTAGCTTAATTATGGTATACTAGTTGGTATATATTCTTTATTTAGCTTAGAGTGACTTGTGTATGCCGATGTATTGTTTTTACTTAATATGTGACGAAATGAATTCTTCTCCTATCTTTTCTCACATGGTATCGAAGTAGGTTTTCACATGGTACATTTGCATGCGGTGATGGACCCCGCCTCCAAAACTCAAGTATTATCATTTCATTCCCCAATAACTTAGATATACTTATAAACTGGGATTTTAGCTTTATTAGCTTTATCAAAACTTGAAATTAGAGATTGGTCTAGTTGAACCATAAATCTAAAAGATATTTTTATTTCCTTTTTCATCGAGACTAGTAATTATACTTCTATCAGTGTGGCTAGCTATTTTCCATAATCATGATGATCCACGATCAAATCATATTTAAACAAGATCACCACCACAACTATCGAAAATAAGTCAAGCATACCTTGTTCTTGTATTGTAGTTTGAGAAGAAAATTTGCATATATAGTTTAGCTTACATAGCTTTGTATTGTAGATGATACCGTGCTTTCAAACCCCAAAACAAAAGTTTGCTCAACTCTTTGCGCAGTTTCACAAGGGTTTCGCTCAACCATCTAAGGTTGAAGCATGGTTGAAGTTGAATATACGTTAATAGATTTTTGTAAGTCATAGGAAAGAAGTCTTTCCTAGATTGGCTACGTTTGGATCATGGATTTCAAAATGAATAAATGGAAAGTGTCTAGGGAAATGAAAACGGAGAATTTTTGAAATCACAAAATATGTTTGGTTTATAAGAAAATAGTAATGAAAAACTTGATTTAATGATCTCCGACGGCGACAGCTGACCGACCGCAACCTTCGACCGTGAGAGGAAGATGTGCGACCGCAACATCCGGTTTATTTTTTCCCCATCTTTTGTTCTATGTTACTTTACACCGTGTTTTACATTCGATTTGGTAACTTCAACTTCTATTTACCTAATACACACATGGCTTGGCTCAAATAGGATAATTTTGAACCTTATATATAGATTTATGGTCTTCATTGCGCACTACTAGCGAAACAATTTATAGAGTTCAAAAAGACCCTTGAGCTTCTCCGGGAATACATGAGGTAATTCCACATTCTGATGCGATGCTTATGAGTTCTAGTTATGCGTGACACCAACACATTCTCTATCTAATCCTATTCCTTAAAACTTCTTTGCAGACACTTGGCCATGCATGTTATGACAAACAACGAACAATGTGTTCTAAGCCTAATGTTGTCTCTATAGATTAAATAGACACTAATCTCTAGTGATCGTAATGTCTCAATCCACACAAAATTTTCCAAGTTACAAAATCTTACAATAGCTCAAAAATTACCCGAGTAAGGGAAAAAATAGAAGCAAATCTATAGTATTAATACAAAATCCTGAAGAAAAATTAATGGTAATAGGATCAAATGAAAATTTTATCATGCAAGAGGTCATATATGCTTCGTTATACGACAACGACATATTTCAGAAACCATGGAGTCGCACTTCAAATTCATCTTTCTTTTTCAAGAAATAGTGTCCAACAACTCATTGACCTTTCATGCCTCCGCTTGATTAAGAACTATTGTATAACTACTATTCCTATGTCTTAAGCATATTCAACATGATTCTAGCATGCGTATAATGAGTCAACAATTAAGATTAACAAAAACAAAGATTGTTCCATAGAAGAAACAAGAATTACAAAAATACAAAAAACAATATCCTATTTATGAGTGCTAGTTATGCATTGCAAATATTAAGTTTTCTTGTATTACCATTCTTGTAAAACATGAATTTTGGTGGTTGGTAGTACCTCACCAATATCAATTCCTAAGATTAACATATTGACACTCCAAAAAAAATAAAATTAATTGATTGCTTAAGATCCTTAAGATCCACATAATATGTTAATATATTTGGAAGTAATTCGCCAATATCAATCCTTAAGATCCACATAAGATGCTAACACATCACTAAATCTCCTCGTGAGATTTAACGATGCACTAGGAAGTTTAATGGGAAAATAACACTCAATTTAATAAAGATAGATATAACAGAAAAAATGTAGAAAAAATGTACCATATCTGAAAGACCATATTGGAGCTTGGATGCGGAACAAAAGCCAAGGTGCTCATCGACTCCATAACCAAAGCATATCTTTGGACCCAACTCTGGCTTCAAAGATTTCTTTGGTGTTTTAGCTGTCATGTTGAGGTAGCCAGCTTGATGAGTATAATGCTTGAAAGGCAAGCATTTTACAAACTCTTGGAAATGCCTCGGCAATCGTTCTGCAAATGATTCCGCTGGAGGCCAATCCTCCAACTTTAATATTTTGGGCCGACCTTCACTGTCCCAGAAGCCTTCAGTGTATCCTTTGAAAAATTGGTGTATGTTAATTGTTTCCTGCATGTCATAGTCCCAAAATCAAATTAGGGCAAATTACCAAAACCCCCCTGAGGTAAGCCTAAATAACGAAAATCCCCCCCATGTTCTCGTAATTACGAAAACCCCCCTTGACTAACGGTTGACCGAATTTTTTTAACCGAAAACGTGAAATGTCTATTATATCCTTCTGTTAAATATGTAAAAATTAAAGGGCAAATTACCAAAACCCCCCTGAGGTAAGCCTAAATAACGAAAATCCCCCCTGACATCCCTTTCAGTTGATGATTTATTGCTTTTATAAATTTATTTATTACTTTGTAATTTGTATTGATAATTTGATATTATAATTTTTTATTTTTTTATTTATATATTTTAATTGATTTTATTTATCCAGAGGAGTATTCATACGGATTTATGCTTTTAGCTTGAATGATGCATGGTTGTATTTCTCGAATTGTAAAATATTTAATTTTATATATAAAAAATAATTAAATTTTGAAATCTCATTCATTGATTTTTTTTAATCCAATAAAAATACATTGTACATTCATAATGATTGATTATATTTGGGTTTAATTTAAGAAAAATAAGTATTTTGTACATTCATAATGACCCCTCATTAAATAAAATGCTTACAAATTACCCCCTAAGGGTAATTTCGTGTACAAGGGCAAAATTGGTATTATCGGAGGATTCGGGAGAATCAAAAAGATTCTATCGATTCTAACACCGTTAGAGCGATTTGTAAGACGTCTGCATACCTCAGGGGGGTTTTCGTAATTACGAGAACATGGGGGGGATTTTCGTTATTTAGGCTTACCTCAGGGGGGTTTTGGTAATTTGCCCATCAAATTATTACAACACGAAAACAAAAGTAAACATGAAGAATGTGTGGCTTAGCAACCGACCATCTAAAACCTACGTAAGGATTTATTAGAAAATTAATTATTAGATAATCCGGATTATAATTTGCGTCTCTAATAGGGTAAAACATACTAGAGAAGTTGACTTACCTCACACCAATTTAAGCAGTTCGTTACGCTGAATTCCAGAATACGCAAGTCATGAGTGCTTTTAATTTTGCGAAAAGCACGCCACATGACTAATGGTTCCCAACTCAACCCAGTTGTTCTGCTAAGGACGTTAGGGACTATTACCGGCTGACCTTTATATAGGTGCCATTGGAAATGTTTTTGGTCCGCTGTTTCAACGCCCTCAATTGTGGGACAACGGAAGTTATCCGATTCACTCCCTCGATTGTATCCCGAGCATGAGCATGCTCCTTCAGAAGGTTCATGAGCATCAGCTACTGATTCTGCTTTTGTTAGCAGTTCCGATATCCAGTTAACTGGATACGTGGACTTCAACTCCAGAATCCTAGGACCACAACTCCCCATGCCTTGAGGTGGACAAATAATGTTACCGTTATTTGTCACTTTACTGTACGAAACAAAGCCGTTTCTAATCTCTTGGCAGCACCTCACACAAAGCTTGTATGAACAGTTTGGGCAGTTTCGGTGAATATCAAATACTGAAGATTTGCAGTTACCGCTGCACAACATAAGTTCTAAAATCAACATGTTGCATATTGGGAAGAGAATTATCGAGAAAATAAATTGGTTCCAAATATCCCACCATTTCTTCAGTTGATATTCATGGCTATGGTTTGCTTTGGGAAGCTGTAGTCCTGCAACCGATAAGCCTGTCCAACCAAAAAGATATTGTAACTCATCAAGCAGTGAAACTATAATTGATAGAGAAAATAAAAAATCCTATTAATTATGTTCATATCCAACACTATGAAACACAATTCAATATGATAGACTGGTTAGCATAATAAAACATTTTTATAATGCACATGAATGGAATCAATCAAAATTCACATCAAGCAGAATTAATTTAAGGGTAAATAGCATTAAACCACCTAAACTTTTTCAGTTTTTGCGGATCACCACCTAAACAATTTTTTTTTGCATGAGTTCACCCGTACTTAATAAATTGTGTCACTTTGCCATTTTTTGCCGGTTTTCAGGTCAAAATGACCTGTTCTCAACTCATGTGCGTTGCACATGACAAATCCAAGGGTATTGATGTCTTTTCCATTTTTAAAATGAAATAAATGTTTTTTTAGGATAAATGGAATAAATATAAAATAGAATAATTAAAAGAAAAAAAACATGTCAGTTTTATTTTATTTAATTAATCAATTTTATATATACATACATTATACATACATATGCAGGGGATACAACCCACTTGCAGTTGCAGAACACAAGTTTTGAAGAAAGATTCTCTCACATACACACACACACACACACAACACATTCATTCCTGTTTTTAACTAATTTAATCGGTATGAATTAACTTGGTACGTTTGTATTTCACTTTTTTTCATCGAATATTTGATTCTTTGATTGAATCCCACTTCAGATCTGTTGATTTTAATAAAAAAAAATTAATTTTATTTTGCATTTGAATTGAAGTGGGATGATCTTGGTGAAATGGGGGGACGAATTTTCGTGCAACTGGTGGTGGTTTTATCATTTCGGAGTGGTAGTGTGTTTGTTGCAAAAGCAGAGGATTTCATACCCGATCTCACCGCCAAGCGCCGCGCACTTCCGCCGCGGCCTCAATTGTGAGAAGATCATCTAATCCTCCATTCGTTGGAAGATGATCTAGTTGATTCGGAGGAAGAAATCGAGAGAAAATAGTGTTCATATAACCTGAATTGGGGAAAGGGAAAATTAAATGGGCATTTTTGACGTAATTTTTGGACCAATTTCATTCAATTAAAATGGGTTGGGATTAAATGTGTTCAAAATACAAACTTTAGAATGTATTGTGTTCATTGTCGAAGAATCTCGTTTGAGGTTGTGGGCGGCGGATCTGAAGATGTGGTGGTGGTGGTGAGTATGGTGGTTGTGCAAGAGGGCGTAGCTGGGTTGTGGGCGGCGGATGTGAAGAAGATGTGGTGATGGTGGTGAGCTTGGTGGTTGTGCAAGAGGGCGGAGCTGGTTCCTGGTGGTGAGCGGCGGACGGCTGAAAATTGTGAATTGGGTGAGTAGAGTGGGGTGGTGTGCATGAGATGGGTAGTTCCTGGGATTGGAAAGAAGATGAAGGCCTTTTTTTTATTTATTTATTTTATTTAACATTTATTCCATTTATCCTAAAAAAACATTTATTCCATTTTAAAAATAGAAAAGACGTCAATAGCCTTAGATTTGTCATGTGCAACGCACATGTGTTGAGAACAGGTCATTTTGACCTGAAAACCGGCAAAAAATGGCAAAGTGGCACAATTTATTAAGTACGGGTGAACTCATGCAAAAAAAAATTGTTCAGGTGGTGATCCGCAAAAACTGAAAAAGTTTAGGTGGTTTAATGCTATTTACCCTTAATTTAATGCCAACTACATTAAATTAATGTAAAATATTTAAATAATGAAATACTTTACGGTGATTTTGAAAGCTGAGTTATTACTTCTCAAAAAAATTGAAGTACATCTTCATGTAAAAAATAGCCAAAAAAAGAAAAGAAAAGAAAAGAAAAAAATCCTTCCCATTAGAAACAGAGATTGTTTGACTTTCTTTTCAGGCAGCGAATTCAAGCTAAGCTTCCAAACAAAAAGCGTAATCCAGGTGAACTTCAAAAATCCTAAAAAAAGTCAAAATTACCTTGAATTCTGACCTCGTGTTCTTTTTCCATATTATGCTCAACGACAAAGTTCTTCAAGAAAGGAAGAAGTACTCGAATGATATACTTTGAGTACTGAGTCTTGTCACTAATGCAAAGGTCTGGGATCATCAATTCCTAACATGCAAGAACAATAAAACTAATTATAAAATATATTCTAAATCAAGATAAAATCAAGATAAGTGTACTTTAATATGAACTTGAGTAGCCACATCAGACTGTAAGCAAGCTGTACAGTTGCAAATGTTACGACAACTGGGGCAGGCTTCAGCAAAATTTGTCTCATGCATCCCTGCATACCTGCAATTACCACGGAGATATAGTAAATATATATGCAAGATTACGGACGAAAAGACATAAATATAAGAATGAGGATGCAGGAAATAATGTAAGTGTAGAGACAATTTCATTTACTTCAAAACATATTTAAGCAAAGTTCTTTAAAAATGAGTATAAGATAAGCCTCAACCGGAAAGGGCATGGACTGCCATCTTCCAAAGAGAAGATAATCACTGTACCGTTATTATCTTAAAATCAAGTTTGCTGAAGAACAACAACTCAGAAATTATAAGTATATTTCAGTCTCAAAAAACATGAAGCAGTTTACCAAATAATTTGACATTGAAGAGTAAAGAAAAACAAAGATTTAAGGAAACATTTGATTCATTTACTTCGAAACCAATACAGATCTGAAAGATGGGAACAAAAAAAAAAAACACAATTCCTCACCATTTTGTGATGCATGCAATACAGTAACCCTTTTTATTGCACTTAGTGCATCTTACAACTCTTCCTTTGTCGTTTCTGCGACATTGATGGCAATTGTTTGAATCGCTTCTATTCCTCTGTCACACGCAAAGAAAAAAATATTAACACAGGAACTCATTATCCTCACTTTTGAATATCTTACTTCATGAAATGTAAAGTTGGTAAGGGAGTGTATTAGATGAGATATATAGTTCGGGATATAATCATCACTAAGACCTTAACTTCTAAAAAAGTAGTACAAAGAGAAAGTTGATACAAGACAATTGCAGGGATATCCGAATTTTGCAACCGATCTACTTATATCAATTCTTATTCCGCTTTTAGAACATCGATTTGAAGTTGCAAAAAAAATGTTAAAAGGGAAAATAAAATGTTGTTCATAGTAATGAAATGGTCAAGGATATGAAAAAATACACGGAAGGCAACATATTGTTTTCCTTTTCTCATTTTTGTTTTCGATAGATCTGTCACAATTAATATTACTAGTTTACCTTTAAGTTGGGTTCGTTCATCTGCATATTTCCAGCAGAAGATGCATCTTCATTTGTATTTCTCCACGGCATCATTTCAACTCCCAATTGTCTTTGTAAATCTTGTTTTTTCAATCGTTTTTCTCAATCAGGCACCACGTTCTCTTAACTGCAATGGCAAAAATGTATGCATAATTCTTCCAGGGAAGACCAAATAAGGATGTCTTACCAGCAAAAAAGGAAAATTGTGTTGATTACTTTAATCCGATACTGCTCACTGCAATATAATGCTGACAATTGCAATTTTATGCTTATTACTACAATCTTATGCAGATTCACAGAATATATAAATAATTTTTCTTTTCACCGACCAAAAATGTTTTTACTTACCATGCCTGTAAAATGGAGGGCACTAGGAAGTGAATTTCGAATTATATTGGAAATATTAGGAAAAATATTTATTTTATATTATTGCTACTTACTACTTATGCACATTCACAGAATATATAAATAATTTTCCTTTTCACCGACCAAAAATGTTTTTTTACTTACCATGCCAATAAATTGGAGGAATTCAGGAAGAAAAATCTAGAATTAGCATTACTTAAGATTATTTGAGGAAAAATAGTTATATTATATTATTGGTACTTACTACTTGTGCACGCTGACAATAAAACTGGTCCTAATTCTCCACAATCTATTAAATAAATATTACATAAATTAAAATTAAATTGTTCATATGTTTACATAGCCTACGCTGGAAAATGATTTTTAAAGGTTATAAAATTTGAGATAATGAAGTTATTTCAAGACATGAATGCATTGTAACCTAAAGACAAGGAGAGAATAACAACCAAATTTAAACCACTAAGCATTTGTACATTTATTTGAAGAAATGGGTTACAACAGAGCAGAAAGGATAATATTCGAGAATATACGAGTACAAGTTTAACAACTTCAGCAAATGGCTCATAATCAAGTAGAAACTAACTGTAAAGTAAATCATAGTAGTTATTGGTTTCTTCATAAGGATTGCTCAATCCTACTAATAATTTATTATTTTATTTTTTAATAACTAGTAACAATACAAGCAGAGATTAAACCCGCCTTATTTACGGAACAAAAGTTTTCCAAAATTGTTAGTTTGACAACATAATCACTAAAACAATCACCAGAAGGAGGAATAATAAAAACTAGTCCAAAATCTTATCTTTAAAATCAACATGACAACAAACACATGTTCTTTTCTAATCAAGATAGACAGCCGGAGATAGATAAAGACCACTCAGTTTAAGAAAAAAGGGAAAACCAAAAAAAAAATAATATAAAAACATAGGCATCATTCAAACACAAAATGAAGTAAAATCACCTAAATCATATCACAAAACTCCTCGATTTTGAACCTTTGATAAGAGAAAATGAGGAGATGGGGATGAAAAATTGAACAAGGGATTGAGAGATGCAGAGAATGTGTGAGAAAGTAGAATGGGAAAAGGGAGGGGAGGGTAAAACTTACTTGTGGGAAACTCCGCCAATAAAAGCGATAAGGTCAGCATTGATTGTATCGATCCCTAATAAATTGTTTCATATCCAATGACGATGCCAGCTAATTTTACATATTAGCAGTTGCACCAATCGTAGTTGGCAGCGAAATGACATTTGGCGAGATATGAAATGTACCATACAGTCTATTGTGAACTTCCTTAAGCCATTAATTTAGTTTACCTAGGTATGAAAAAAGCAAAAACTCAAGGACTGACCAATCCAAGATCATTGCTAAAAAGCTCTTTTGCGACTATTTTATCGTCTAAATGATCATGCCTGGTTTCATTTTATTAAAAAACCAGGACTAGAAAGCCAGACAAAATATTATTGAATAGCGGCTTCTAAATATGATGGTGCACAAGCAACTTAGTTATTATATTCAAGACTATATCCAATAAATCATTGGCATATTAACCGGTACCACAGGCACACAGACCTGTGGAAATCAGAATTTCAATTGTTTTATTACCATGACACACAAAAGAGTCCTATTTGATGATTATCTTGCATTTCTTAAGTTTGTTATTTTGTATTAAGTCAAGGGTTCAATTCTCTTCGGGAACGGATTGTAGGCCATTTATACGGCCAATTTTGTTTTTAAGAAACTACAGCACTGCTTAGTATACAATGGTTTCTTGACTGGTCTCGCTTTCTTTCTAATTTTTTATTTTCCTAAAATCAAATTTCTCTTGAACTTATTGACGAGTTAATCATAGTATATCCTCGAAACTCATCTCATAACTTGAAATGTGTATACTATATTTGATCAATACTTGAAAAAAAATAATTGAAAACATAAAATAACTCAATAGTATGTTATTCTTGTATAAGTAAGTCACGCCGTCATTTCTGTGATATTTGCTCACTCAGTATAAATGTAATCAGATGTAGTACTTTTCAATCATTTGACACTCAACAAATCACTAAAAATATTCTTCAACATCCAGATTAAAATATTACCTGATACTGAAAATACATCTCTCGCCAACTCTCGATCATGCCCCATATTCCTTCAAATAATGATAAGTAAAATTAGTAGGAGCCATCAAGTTACAAAAAAGATGAGATAGATAGTAACAACCTAAGACGCCTTTCTATAACCAACAACCATTGAGTGTCTGGGGAGGTAAAAATTAATACATGACAACAGAAATTGCAGCAGTTTACAAATTTACATGAAACAACGAAAATGGTGTCCTTTTTAAATTTATAGTCAGTGGAAAAAGAAAATCCCAAATAACCACTTATACTTATACATTGATATGAATATGAATCTCCTATGAGTTCAATTAGGTATGAGGTTCCCCAATTAATTCGACCAAAGTACTCGAAATTTTGTTTAACAGAAATGAAGTACAGCTACTAGCGGTTCTTCATGGTTTCCATGTGCGATTAACATACTGCTATCAGAAAAAGGCATATAAAAAGGCAATTGCATTTCCATACTAAATCTCCCATGAGTTCAATTAGGTATGAGGTTCCCCAATTAATTGTTAAAATTTTATACTGCTATAAAAAACAGGCATAGAGAAAGGCAATTGCATACTGCAATCAAAAAAATGCATAGAAAAAGGCAATTGCATTTTCATGGCTTAGAATCTGGAAATAGCCATCCTATGAAGAATTTCCACATCCAATTAACTCCGTATATCTCCCACCACCATAACCACGGCGGCGAGCATAGCCGGAGCACATCAACCAATACAGTAGTCGTATTGTTGGAATGCTATGTTATTTTCCCATCTCCTCTTCACCAGATCCATCCTCCAATTACCGTGCGCCGAGAAAGAATACGGCGAGGGATAACGGCCGGTGGCGGTGGCGGCGGCGGCGACGGTGGGCCTGGACATTGCAACTGCCACCTACGGGGTTTTAATCTGAGGAGTGGGGAGATGACAACTGATCGTCGGAGAAGGGTTAATTTTGTTTGATCATTTTCTAAATAAATTAAAGTTTAAACCCCTTAAGCGCTACATATCACTTCAACCCCTACAACCAAGCATTAATATAATTTCAACCCTTCCATCTAAGCCTTAAATATTACTTTAACCCCTCTAACTAAGAATTGTTGCAGTTGAACCCTAATATATTTTTTTCAAGTTGAAAAACCAAGAAATTTTTTAACAAATTTATCTCTCTTCAAACCCGTTATTGAATTTGAATCACTCTTCGATTGCTATTTGAATCACTCTTCAAACTTGTTATTCAATTTACTAGTTGATGCAGCATAAGGGTCAAGTTTGTCAAATAAACTGCTTTCATTGAAAAGTATATAAATTTCTTGCCATATGTGGTTAGAAAGCTCTGGAAGTCTAGTTTCCAATAATAAAAAATGGTTTACGAAACAAAGGTCCGAGGAGGAAGTTATGCTCAATGTTCTAGAACCTGCCAAATGCACTCGGGAAATCCGAAGGTCTTGTGCCTTTCAGTATTTCTTAGTGTTCTACTTGTTTTATTAGTCTAAGTTCGAATTATTCTTCTTGTTATCAATTAGTCAGGTCATATTCTATGTATTTCCTATGTTTGGAGGGATGTTCCAAAACTCCTATATAAACCCTATCAATGAATAAAATTAGCATGATTGTTTAAGTTGAAAAATATTTTGCAAGTTAATTGCATTGAGAGTAAGTGATTCCTCCTTATACAGGTGAGTGACTTGGTCGCATTGAGTGATTCCGTGACTAGTAGGGTCGAGTGAGTCCGCTGCCGCCGGTTGAGCGATTCCCGGTCACCTATCGTTTTCTATCTCTTTTCCGTTGTGGGTTTCGGCATGCATCACTAGTACTTGCTATTTGAATCACTCTTCAAACTTCTTATTCAATTTATTAGTACTTTACCCAAATTTAAATGTATCAAACTAAAAAATATTGAGGATTTAATTTAAAACGATCGAAAACAAAAAATAACAAATATGTATATCATTTTGTCACCAAAAATCTACATAAATATAAATTGACAAGGTCGGAAACATCATTAAAAGTGACATGCAAAAATCAACTCCATCATTGAGTGGTGATCGAATCACAATACCACTCTTGTGCATTAATCCGAATCTTGATACAGTAACACACGAGACTAAGACTGATACAGAAATTTATACTAATACGGATATACTAATATCGATAGTGATACTGATACGTGGGGTGGCGGTTTCCACGCCGATGTTGGGAGTGTGTGGCATTTTTTCGCACCTATTTTGGGCGTGAAATCAGCTATTTCACATCCATTTTAGGCGTGAATAGACAAAAAAACGGATTATTTAAACCTAAAAATTAAGGGGGTTTTCTGCATAAGTCCCCTAACTAAACATCTTTATTATTATAGGTTTAGGGGCTATATCTCTTTCACCAATAGGCCCATCCCTTTAATATTTATTATAAATAAAGGGAACATTCATGTATATGACAATATTACCCCCAAACCTTCACTTCTTAATTGTAACCACAATTTAATCAATTTTGTCCAAAAAAATCCAATTTTGACCACAAAAATCCAATTTTGACTTTTTTTTTTCAAAAATTTATTTTTGCCGCCGGATTCCGGCGTTGACTTTTTTATTTTTTTTCTTCCGGATTTATCCGCCGGTCTCCGGTGTAGACTTTTTTTTTTTTTTTTTGTACGTCCGCCGCTAAACGTTGACCGTGATTGTGCTGTCACTGGCAGTAAATTAACGTAATTATACTGTCAATGACAGTTAATTGACGTAATTGTACTGACGTTGACAATACATTTATGTAATTGTTCTGTCGTTGACAATAAATTAACGTAATATTATTATTTTTTTACTTTTTGTTATTTTTTTTTATTTTTTTTGATTTGTTGACAAATCAACGTAATTATATTGTTGTCGTTGACAGTAAAATAACTGTAAACACAATAATATTACTGTCAATAACATCAATATTATTATTTTTTTTTGGGTTTTTTGTTTTGTTTGAGTTACTCACGAAGTAACATAATAATATTACTGTCTATTATTGTAATATTATTGTAAACACAATAATATTACTGTGGTTCACGGTAATATTACTGTTGTTATAGTAATATTGTTGTCAACCACATCAATATTATTATTTTGTTTGAATTTTTCTGTTTGTTTGAGTTATTCACGGAGTAACGTAATAATATTACTGCATATTATTGTAATATTACTGTGGTTGACGCTAATATTACTGTTGTTATAGTAATATTACTGTCACTCACAGTATTATTAATTCTTTTGGCTTTTTTATTATGCTTACATTTGTTGAACGATCAACATAGTAATATTACTCTATTACACAATAATAATGAGTTTTGTTGTGTTAATATTATTGTGCTAGAGATTAATATAGCAATATTATTGTGTTAAACTGTAGTTTAGTTAATTTTACTGTGTTTAACAGTAATATAGTTAATATTACTGCCAATCACAACAATATTGTTGTTTAAACGAGAAAAAAATGTTACAGAAAGAGAAAAAAAAATCAAAAAAGTCAACGTCGGGGCGGCAAAAAAAATCTGGAAGAAAAAAAAATGAAAAATTAACGCCGGAATCCGGCGGCAAAAAAGTAAAAAATTGAAAAAAAAATTTGGGTCAAAATTGAATAATTTGTGAATTTTGAGGTCAAATTGAGGTTAAATTAAGTTAATGATGAAATTGGAGCATATTAAAGTATGAGGGGGCTATTTTAGTCTTTTACAAAAATCTGGACCATATATGGACTTATTTGTAAAGAGTTTTTTGTCTGGATCTCTTTATGAATAAATATCCATTGATGGACTTATTTTTAATGACCCCAAAAAATTAAAACCGCATTTGTAAAAATGGAACCACATTTATTACGTCCCATTTATAAATCGTAGTTAAGTTAAAAATATATGCTAGTTGAATAATACATAATTATCTAATTTGCAATTTTATATTTGCTACAACTAACACAACATATTGCTACGAAATCAAAGACATATTTTATAAAGAAAACAGTTCATGTCATGCTGATTCGCCAAACTCAATAAAACTCACAAAAAACGAAACAAAAGAAAATAGTGCTCAAAATTACAAAATGAAAAACGCTAACGCATCGATAGATATGCTGTCACTGAGACGTAGAAGACTCGGCGGCGGTGTTTACTTTGTTACGGAGGAGCAAAATCTCTTGTAAAAGATAGGCTTTTATATGAGGGTCAATCAGGTGGCCTTTTGTTTCGAGAATCAATTTCATCCTCTCCAACTCCCTCTTCACTTCTGCAAGACTAGGTATACGTATCTCCCCTGGAATAAGAAATGATACGTCGCGGATAAAAAGGGTAGAATCGACATATATATTCATGAATTAAAATTGCAATAAAACATTATGAGAGCACATAAAGACGGCTCAAAATTCATGAACGAAAAAACACTTGAGCCAAACAGAGTATTGACATTTTGAAGATGTTGTCCGGCCCATAAACAGATTTACAAGCCACATTGTGAGTTAATTGAATGGCGACCTAGAAACGATTACAAGAGATAAGATCATGATTGAGGAAAGAAGCTATACGAAGAACATTGTTATTTTTAGAAAATTAATCAGTAAATAATCCGACAAACAGAAGAACGTAAAACGAGGAAGGTGTCATATCCAATCACATAATTCACATTTCAATTTTTTCGATCGACGGGATAAATCATGGTAGAGAAGTGCCACAATTGTAATTACGAAATTTACCTTGCGATTGGGCCCCTTCGTTGGAATTTTTCTTCATTGGTAACTTCACAATCCAAAAAAAAAATCATCAGAAAGAGGAGCAAGATAGCTAGGACATAAAAGTCAGTCCTAGAAAACTAATATGCAAATCGAAATGACAAAAAATATATGATCTCTTTGAGTACTCTTTCTAATCCAAAGTAGAAGTTGTCGTGTTTTCAAGAATATCCAGCGAAATGAATATTGCCAGAAAGAAATGGATAAGTTAATCAACTCGGGAGGGGGGATGAAAGATCCGAAAGTACAAAATTCAAAAACAAAAATAAATTGTGTATCTCATTAAATGACATGTCATCTGATTTTGAACCAGAATAAAACAAAAATCATCAATCGGATTAAATAGTTGAAAGATGGAAAATTTAATGTTGAATACAACTAGGGCCGGGGGGGTAGTCATCATTCGAAAACTAAATAAAAAACTTACAAATTTCTGAGAAAACTGAGAGAGGAATCAAGAGATGGGAGATATGGGAATGAATGGGTGAAGGGAAAACGAGTGTTATATAATGGTGAGAAAATCTACCGTGATAAGGCCGGCAGTCAATACAGCGATACGCAATAAATTGTGCCTTTCCAGCCACGCCACGCCAGCTCATCTAACGTATCAGCATTGACCAATCTTAGCTGGCAACAATATATATTTTGGAAAGATTTAAAATAACTGGACGGGTTTGAGAGTACCTTACAACGTTTTGTGAATTTCTCATGAGCACCTAAGCCCAATATCCACTGCTAACAGGCCTGCGCATTCAGCAAAAACAACATTAGCAAACAGGAATATCAATTTGCATTTTCCCAAACTTAATACTAAAACCAAAAAACAGAAACATTAGCCAAAACCAACTCGAAAATTCTCAGGGCCTTCGAAATTCATGAAATCGGACAAAAGTATGGCACAAAATTATATAAATAAAGCATAGTTCCACAGATGAAAATGTCAAAATATTATTCAAGCTAACCATTGAAAATGGTGTAACTAAGATGAAGAAGAGCCAGCACTGGAGTTTATTTTGTTAGTGAGGAGCGTGATCTCTTTTAAGAGATAGTCTTTCATATGCGGTTGAAAAAGGTGGCTTTTCGTTACGAGAGCCGATTTCATCCGCTCCAACTCCCTCCTCATTTGCAAAATACTAGGTTTCTCCCCTTGTTGAGCTGGATTCTGGCGTACATTCCCATGCTCAAACGGGGGTGCAAATGGACTTCTTGAAGTAATTCTGGGAAAGAATAAAATAAAATGAATTAACATCGTATCAAAGACATATGCTTAGCAAGCCTATGTATATATTGACTTACGCATCAATCTTGTCCAAGTATTGCACAGCTTGGCAGACAGCACTGAGAACCAACCCTTTCACCTGTTTCATTACGAGCCATTAGATGTCGTCCGCAATCTTTGTTTTCTTACAAGCAGACAAATTTTATTCATTATTGTTGGGTGCTAAATACCTAACACGCAAGTGCACGTATAGCAAACAAGTAGTAAAAGTGGACTCGTGAGAGTCGGATGTCGATCCCACAGGGAATACGTAAATTACCTAATCCTAAGTACCAAATTCTAACAATTATGATTTTTATCCAGCCTACGCGAGTTTGTCAAATTAAATCAATTAAACAATTAAACTAAATAAGAAAGCAATTAAACACGAGAAAATATCAATAAAAACAGACCTAGGATTTTATCTTCCCCCTATGCAAGAATCGCTCACCCAAAACCCCTCAATTATGCAATATATGATTCCTAATTATTAACCCGAGACACTAATTTACTCATAACCCGCTGTCGCGTGTATTATAAGTCTATTATTCATAAACGGTTCACTATATGTCTATGCAAACAAATTATGAATAAAGCATTAACTAACAAGTCTCGTAAATGGCTACCTAAGGCGATATCTGTATGTCTACGACACCACATGCAATTGACACACTCATCCGGTGAAAACTACTCGAAGGCTCTTATACTTACCGTCTAATTATCAAAATAGCTCTGTCGAGTCAATCCCAATAATCACAGATAAAGCACATAAATTGATCAAGTTCATGCACACAATCATAACATGTAGAAGAAATAATCATAAAATCATAATTGCATAATCTCAACAAAACGGGTTCACGATCCCCACATAGGGTTCCAACAAAATCCTAGATTAAAAACTTAGCTACTCATGTTCTCTACGAAAAAAATAATAAAAATATAAAAACACATAGATTAAGAAAAGATAGAATAAAGAAGAATTGTGATGAAGAGTCGTCAATTCTCCGTCTTCGATTCTTCGTTCTCTCGCTCCTCTCACTCCAAGGTTGTGTCAAAAGTCCTCTAATTCGTGCTTGGTTTGGGCTTAAATAGATGTCCCAACTTGGTAGATGATTTTAGGTTTCCTTGTGTGATTAAAAGTCCAAAATTGTCTCCAGCGTGTGTTGGCGCGGCCGCGCGAAAATCAGTGCAATTCTCACACGGCCGCGCGAGAATCGCCGAAACCTTCTGCCCAAATTCTGCATTTGGCACGGCCGTCCCATTTCTAGGTGTACAATTGGGACGGCCGTCCCGTGCCAAGTTCTTCAGATTTTTGATTATTTCACTTTTGGCCCATAATTTCTCCATAATTGCAGTTTTGACCCCAAACTTTTCCAATTCTTCAATTTATACCGAAAATACAATAAATCAACTTTTTAAGCACCAATTATCGTTAAATCACACCAAAAGCTCAAATAAAAAGGTATGATAAAGTGTAAAAATATACACTTAACACACCCCCGAACTTGATCTTTTGTTTGTCCTCAAGCAAAAACTAGCAACTTTCACAGCAACACTCTCAACAAATGCCTCTCATCACATAGATTAATGGTCAACTTTCATTTTTTCAGAACTTGCAATTATCATGACAATTCTCAAAAAATTACAAGCTCGTAATTCAAGATACGTATTCACTCACCATTGCTAAAAACCACAAACCATGCTATCGCTTCAACTATCTCATATTTGTACATTAAAAATTGAGAAAATTTATACTTACATATTAATATTCAACTCCAGATACTCACCAAATTTCTTTACTCGGCTAGTATCAAATAATTGAGCTATTGGAATCATTGGGACTTTTTGGCTTTCAAATGTTGGGCTTTTTGGTTCGAGGTAGGAGATATGGGTATAGGTGGCTATGCTTCTTGAATTGAGGTGATTACGCCAAATTTTGAAAGATAGGCGTTTGAAACAATGAATTCACCTCTAAGGACTTTAATAAACTCGATTCTTAAGAGTTCAAAAGTCTCCACTTTTGCTCTTAATACAATGGATCGAGCTTTCAAAACAATTCAACAACTAGTCCTTACTTCCCCTTTCTAGTCTCTTCTTCTTCTTTTTCTTTCTCTTTTTTATTATTTTTTTTTTAATATATTTTTTTTTTCGAAGAAGAAGAAGGACCTTATAAAAAAAATTCGACCGAACTCCAAGGGTTAATTTTTCAAAAATCTCCACTTATTCTACCTTATACACATTGGCTAAAAGAAAGAACACCGTTTCTCCAAGGCTCAATCAAGATTCGAATGATAAGAATTTAAAGGTAGGCTTGAAAGGCTCAAACGGTTCAAAGATGGCCCAAATCACTTCCCAAATTGCTCAACAATTTAATATTTCACTTTGTAAATTCATAAGACAAGTTCTAAAACCGAATAGCATATGATATAACATAAATTAACTCAAATTTTAAAACACAAAACTTTCAACCAAAGCAACGCATAATTCGAGATTCCTAACAATGACTCCTTCTTACGACACTTTGAATCAAAAGCTCACCAAAATTCGATCAAAATCAAGATAAAACAAGCAATTTCATCATTAAACATCGACCATCTTACATCATCATGATTCATCGAAGCATTTATCTCAAGCAAATTTTTTTTTTTTTCGAAAGAAATAATTAAAATAAAATAACTCAAACAAAAAAAACTTAAGGCATGCAAACTAAAAAATTAAAGCACATAAAAATAAGTAATTTTCCACCCCCAAACTTAAAATTTACATTGCCCTCAATGTAATTAACACGAAGTTTAAGGATAGAATACACCTGAATAAGTCGTTTTGGCCATGTCCGGGCTGCTCTTCTACCGTCGCCTTTATTTTGCTTCAGTTGAGGTTCGCACGGCCGTATGAGATTTTGAACTGTTTTCCGTACGGCCGTGCGATTTGCTAAAATTGGGCAGTAGCTTCCAGATTTTTCACACGGCCGTGTGAAATTAAGCCTTGTTTTGGGACAGCCGTATGAGCTGCAAATTTGCGATTTTTTGTCCTAAAAATTAAAAACATGTTTAATTTATTAGCTTGCATGCTTATAAAATAAGTAAACAAAATAAAACAAGAAAAATAAATAATAAAAAAAACGAAAATCTCGGGTTGCCTCCCGAGAAGCGCTAAGTTTATAGTCTTCAGCTAGACTTTGTTCATGCTCTTCAATTCCTTAGCTTTTGAACCCATCTCCTTACTTCCTTTTCGAGAAAGTCTTGAATAAATGGGTTGATTCGATTCCTCTTTCGACTGGTTTGCTTAGGAATGCCCTTGAATTTATTCTTCTTGATGTCATGAGGCTTGCCAACATCGTCTTTTATCACGGTGTTTTGAGTAGGTGTTGTAACCAACTCAACCTTTTTCTTTTGTTCTCCTACATGCACATTAGTATCCACAAAAAAATTTAAATCATGTAATTTAACAGGAAAAAGTTTAGAATCACTTACCTCATCAAGAAGATAACATCCATTAGCCGTAATAGGATTTTCATCCACTCGGTAGACCTTGAAGATCACTGTTTCTTCCCCCACACTCATTCTTAACTCTCTCTTTCCAACATCAATAATTGATATACCGGTTGCTACTAATGGGCGTCCTAAGATAAGGGGAAATATTTTCATCTTCATCTATGTCTAGTACTAGAAAACCGGCCGGGAGTATGAACTTATCTACCTTGACCAATACATCCTCCACTATACCTAAAGGGTGAGTAAAAGATCTATCGGCAAGCTGCAAGGTCACGGAAGTGGGCTTAATTTCTCCTAAATTCAATTTTTCATAAATTGATAAAGGCATTAAATTTACGCTCGCCCCTTGATCACACAACGCCCGCCCAAAATACCTAGTACCTATTGTGCATGGAATGGTACAACTGCCCGGATCTCTAAGCTTCGGTGGAATTTTATTTGCAAGGACAGCACTACTTTGCTAATTGAGGTCTACGATTGCTGCACACTCCGGAAGCCTCATCTTCTTCGATACATGTTCCTTTATAAACTTAACCCAATTCGGCATATGCTTAAGTGCCTCAACAAAAGGAATATTAACATGCAACTTTTTAAGATAATCCAAAAATGACTGAAATTGCATATCAAGCTTAGAGTTTTGAAAACGTTGAGGGAAAGGTACCTTGGGAGTAGATTCACTTACTGCGATCTTTGTGTTGCTTGGCCCAACCTCGGTCTTTTCTTTGGGCTCCTCTACAATAGGCGGTGGTGCAAAGGACTTTTTAGGACCTTCCTCTAATTGCCTCCCATTTCGCAAACTTACTGCATTGCACTGCTCGATGTTGCTCTTTCGAGGATCTTCCGTATTCGACGGCAGTGCTCCCGACGGCCTCGCGTTTAGTTGGGTTGCAAGTTGCCCCATTTGTGTCTCAAGGTTCCGAATGGATGCTTGAGTTGACGTCATGAATTTCGCTAAGATGTCAGCGAGGTCAACTCCTTGGGCCGGAGTTTGAGGTGGATTTTGGAATCCGGGAGCTGGCTTTTGTCCTTGCTGATTTCCTCCCCATCCAAAGTTGGGGTGATCTTTCCATCCCGGATTATAAGTGTTGGAGTACGGGTTCCTCTGTTGTCGGTTGGTGTCATTGACGTAATTTAGAAACTCCGTTTCATCTAAGCACTGGTCGGGTCCTTGGATTGCATGGACTTGCTGAGTCTGCAAAGCTGCTACTTGCTTTGATAGCTTTTCTAACTGGGCGGTGATTGCGGTGACACCGTCTAACTCCAAAATTCCTCCCGTCTTTATGAATCCGCTATTTGATCGGTCCGATGCCCGCATGTATTTGTTCCTTGCGATTCGCTCCAAAAGTTCGTAAGCTTCGTCATAGGTCAAGCTCATGAACATACCGCCAGCTGCTGAATCGAGCACCGTTCTCGAATTATCTTGCAATCCATCATAAAATATTTGAAGTTGCCGCCACTCTTGAAGTCCATGATTCGGGCATCTCCGAATTAATTGTTTGAACCGCTCCCACGTCTCGAATAGCGCTTCACCGGCTTCTTGTATGAAATTTTGTATTTCTCTCCGGATTCTCTCAGTTTTGGTTGGGGAGTTGTACGTATTCATGAAGAGTTGTGCTAGCTGGGACCAAGAAGATATGGATTGTGGTGCACGAGTTTGTAGCCATTCTCTTGCGGCTCCTTGGAGAGATGCTTGAAGAGGCGGAGCTGCAGTGCTTCCGGTGACACTCCGTTCATCTTATGCGAATCACACGTTTCAAGGAAGTTGACCAAGTGGAGATGCGGATCTTCATGAGCTAATCCACTGAATAACCCATTGTTTTGGAGCATAGTAAGGAGTCCTGCTCGAATTTCGAAATTGTTAGCTTCAATGGGGGGCTGTTGGATGCTTGATTGAAACCCATTGAGTGTCGGAACGGTGTACTCATGCAATGCTCGTTGACGAGGTGGTGGATTAATTAGCTGAAATTGCTCTTGCTCGTTAACGATATTTTCTGCCGCATTCGGTAGGCGCCCTTGGTCATCTCCCCTACGATTATTCTCTTCTTCCATTATCGCATAAAAGGTACCTAAAAAAATTAAATAAAAAAAAATAAAAAAAACTAATTAAATAAAATAAATAAAACGGCTGAAGTAAGAACTTGTTGGGTGCTAAATACCTAACACGCAAGTGCACGTATCGCAAACAAGTAGTAAAAGTGGACTTGTGAGAGTCGGATGTCGATCCCACAGGGAATACGTAAATTACCTAATCCTAAGTACCAAATTCTAACAATTATGATTTTTATCCAGCCTACGCGAGTTTCAAATTAAATCAATTAAACAATTAAACTAAATAAGAAAGCAATTAAACACGAGAAAATATCAATAAAAACAGACCTAGGATTTTATCTTCCCCCTATGCAAGAATCGCTCACCCAAAACCCCTCAATTATGCAATATATGATTCCTGATTATTAACCCGAGACACTAATTTACTCATAACCCGTTGTCGCGTGTATTATGAGTCTATTATTCATAAACGGTTCACTATATGTCTATGTAAACAAATTATGAATAAAGCATTAACTAACAAGTCTCGTAAATGGCTACCTAAGGTGATATATGTATGTCTACGATACCACATGCAATTGACACACTCATCCGGTGAAAACTACTCGAAGGCTCTTATACTTACTGTCTAATTATCAAAATAGCTATGTCGAGTCAATCCCAATAATCACAGATAAAGCACATAAATTGATCAAGTTCATGCACTAACAATCATAACAAGTAGAAGAAATAATCATAAAATCATAATTGCATAATCTCAAGAAAACGGGTTCACGATCCCCACATAGGGTTCCAACAAAATCCTAGATTAAAAACTTAGCTACTCCTGTTCTCTACGAAAAACATAATAAAAATATAAAAACACATAGATTAAGAAAAGATAGAATAAAGAAGAATTGTGATGAAGAGTTGTCAATTCTCCGTCTTCGATTCTCCGTTCTCTCGCTCCTCTCGCTCCAAGGTTGTGTCAAAAGTCCTCTAATTCGTGCTTGGTTTGGGCTTAAATAGATGTTCCAACTTGGTAGATGATTTTAGGTTTTACTTGTGTGATTAAAAGTCCAAAATTTTCTCTAGCGTGTGTTAACGCGGCCGCGCGAAAATTAGTGCAATTCTCACACGGCCGCGCGAGAATCGCCGAAACCTTCTGCCCAAATTCTGCATTTGGCACGGCCGTCCCATTTTTAGGTGTAAAATTGGGATGGCCGTCCCGTGCCAAGTTCTTCAGATTTTTTATTATTTCACTTTTGGCCCATAATTTCTCCAAAATTGCAGTTTTGACCCCAAACTTTTCCAATTCTTCAATTTATACCGAAAATACAATAAATCAACTTTTTAAGCACCAATTATCGTTAAATCACACCAAAAGCTCAAATAAAAAGGTACGATAAAGTGTAAAAATATACACTTAACAATTATATATCTTCAATTTTGTATATTGACAAGACAATCATATTTTTGACATACCTGCAGCTTGTCTTTCTTAAAACTATGATTCTTGGGGAGACGCCGATACTCCGTTGATAGGCGGATGCACTGACCGACGCTTTCGGCTGAAACAAAGTCGATAGACATACTTGTGCACGACTGCAAGATGGAACACGCACAGAAAAATTAATTGCAAAATTCACAACGAAAATAATTGAAGTCGTCGTTCACGAAGTTGTATACGAGTCAAACACTAAAACCTTGAAGTTTCTAGTTTGGTAAGGGCAGCCAGCTGGTACCAAAACTGCATCGCCTAATCTCTGGACAAAGGTCCATGGTTCAATTCCTACAAAAGAAAATATATATATATATATATATATATATATATATATATATATATATATATATATATATATATATATATATATATATATATATAGATAATCAATATACATAGCAATTCACACATATACCACTTTACAACACAATAAAAACATACCATATTCCTCTTTCAGCTTCCTTTTATGCTCCATTGTTAAGTAAAATGCTTTCTCATGAATAGGATGACCCAGCTGTGCACGAATAGAGGAAAAAATAAATTAGTAATACTCCAAAACATATCGATACTTTGGAAAAATAAAAGACATCTATCTACTTATGCCACGACAATAAAAGATCATACCAAAAGCTTAACAATTTTTTGATTTTTAGAATTATGTTAGAAAAATAATAGTAACTACCATATGAGAGATAAACCCCATAACAGCATAAGTTGAGTAGAACATTGTTTTCAAAGTCAAGATTTAATTACTTGCTGCAAAGGGACGACACGTCTGAACTCTCCGTAATGCCTTGAAAGATAGTCTTCCAGCTTAGGAACATCTTGCCTCTGAAAAATGTCCCAGATAGCACCACATTTTTGTTCATCGAGGCATTGATCGTTGTTTCCTGAGGTTGAAGTAGGGGTGTGAACGAGCCGAGCTCGCCTCTTTTGGCTGGCTCGAGCTCGAGCTCGAGTCTGTTTTGTCGAGCTCGAGCTCGAGCTCGAGCTCGTCGAGTTCTTCTTTTTTTGGCTCGAGCTCGAGCTCGTGTTAATTTTGTCGAGCTCGAGCTCGAGCCAATTTCTTTTTTTTTTTTTTTTTTTTAAATATTTTTTAATTATTATTTTAATTATTATTTTAATATTAAAAATTATTTTTAAAAAATACAAAATAAAAACTAAATTGTGATTATATATTTTTTTAATATTAGTATTTATTTCTATAATATTTTATATTATTATACATTATTTAAATAAAAATAACATATAAAAAATAAAAAATAAATAAAAAAATAATAATTAATCCGGCTCGCGAACTGATGAACAACTAAAATCCGGCTCGAGCTCGCGAGCTCGAGCTCGAGCTCGAAAACCTGGAGTCCGAGTTCGAGCTTTTTACGAGCCGGCTCGTCGAGCTCACGAGTCGGCTCGGCTCGTTTACCACCCCTAGGTTGAAGGATCAAATTTTTGCTTTCCTTTATTTTTATTTTCCCTTTCAAATTGTTGATTTCTCGTGGCATCTTGATTTGCTTTCCCATTGCTTACAGAAAATACCACTGGATCTTGGGCAATGTGCTTCATTCCCAAATCGGACAAAAGTATGGCACAAAATTATATAAATAAAGCATAGTTCCACAGATGAAAATGTCAAAATATTATTCAAGCTAACCATTGAAAATGGTGTAACTAAGATGAAGAAGAGCCAGCACTGGAGTTTATTTTGTTAGTGAGGAGCGTGATCTCTTTTAAGAGATAGTCTTTCATATGCGGTTGAAAAAGGTGGCTTTTCGTTACGAGAGCCGATTTCATCCGCTCCAACTCCCTCCTCATTTGCAAAATACTAGGTTTCTCCCCTTGTTGAGCTGGATTCTGGCGTACATTCCCATGCTCAAACGGGGGTGCAAATGGACTTCTTGAAGTAATTCTGGGAAAGAATAAAATAAAATGAATTAACATCGTATCAAAGACATATGCTTAGCAAGCCTATGTATATATTGACTTACGCATCAATCTTGTCCAAGTATTGCACAGCTTGGCAGACAGCACTGAGAACCAACCCTTTCACCTGTTTCATTACGAGCCATTAGATGTCGTCCGCAATCTTTGTTTTCTTACAAGCAGACAAATTTTATTCATTATTGTTGGGTGCTAAATACCTAACACGCAAGTGCACGTATAGCAAACAAGTAGTAAAAGTGGACTCGTGAGAGTCGGATGTCGATCCCACAGGGAATACGTAAATTACCTAATCCTAAGTACCAAATTCTAACAATTATGATTTTTATCCAGCCTACGCGAGTTTGTCAAATTAAATCAATTAAACAATTAAACTAAATAAGAAAGCAATTAAACACGAGAAAATATCAATAAAAACAGACCTAGGATTTTATCTTCCCCCTATGCAAGAATCGCTCACCCAAAACCCCTCAATTATGCAATATATGATTCCTAATTATTAACCCGAGACACTAATTTACTCATAACCCGCTGTCGCGTGTATTATAAGTCTATTATTCATAAACGGTTCACTATATGTCCATGCAAACAAATTATGAATAAAGCATTAACTAACAAGTCTCGTAAATGGCTACCTAAGGCGATATCTGTATGTCTACGACACCACATGCAATTGACACACTCATCCGGTGAAAACTACTCGAAGGCTCTTATACTTACCGTCTAATTATCAAAATAGCTCTGTCGAGTCAATCCCAATAATCACAGATAAAGCACATAAATTGATCAAGTTCATGCACTAACAATCATAACATGTAGAAGAAATAATCATAAAATCATAATTGCATAATCTCAACAAAACGGGTTCACGATCCCCACATAGGGTTCCAACAAAATCCTAGATTAAAAACTTAGCTACTCATGTTCTCTACGAAAAAAATAATAAAAATATAAAAACACATAGATTAAGAAAAGATAGAATAAAGAAGAATTGTGATGAAGAGTCGTCAATTCTCCGTCTTCGATTCTTCGTTCTCTCGCTCCTCTCACTCCAAGGTTGTGTCAAAAGTCCTCTAATTCGTGCTTGGTTTGGGCTTAAATAGATGTTCCAACTTGGTAGATGATTTTAGGTTTTACTTGTGTGATTAAAAGTCCAAAATTTTCTCTAGCGTGTGTTAACGCGGCCGCGCGAAAATTAGTGCAATTCTCACACGGCCGCGCGAGAATCGCCGAAACCTTCTGCCCAAATTCTGCATTTGGCACGGCCGTCCCATTTTTAGGTGTAAAATTGGGATGGCCGTCCCGTGCCAAGTTCTTCAGATTTTTTATTATTTCACTTTTGGCCCATAATTTCTCCAAAATTGCAGTTTTGACCCCAAACTTTTCCAATTCTTCAATTTATACCGAAAATACAATAAATCAACTTTTTAAGCACCAATTATCGTTAAATCACACCAAAAGCTCAAATAAAAAGGTACGATAAAGTGTAAAAATATACACTTAACAATTATATATCTTCAATTTTGTATATTGACAAGACAATCATATTTTTGACATACCTGCAGCTTGTCTTTCTTAAAACTATGATTCTTGGGGAGACGCCGATACTCCGTTGATAGGCGGATGCACTGACCGACGCTTTCGGCTGAAACAAAGTCGATAGACATACTTGTGCACGACTGCAAGATGGAACACGCACAGAAAAATTAATTGCAAAATTCACAACGAAAATAATTGAAGTCGTCGTTCACGAAGTTGTATACGAGTCAAACACTAAAACCTTGAAGTTTCTAGTTTGGTAAGGGCAGCCAGCTGGTACCAAAACTGCATCGCCTAATCTCTGGACAAAGGTCCATGGTTCAATTCCTACAAAAGAAAATATATATATATATATATATATATAGATAATCAATATACATAGCAATTCACACATATACCACTTTACAACACAATAAAAACATACCATATTCCTCTTTCAGCTTCCTTTTATGCTCCATTGTTAAGTAAAATGCTTTCTCATGAATAGGATGACCCAGCTGTGCACGAATAGAGGAAAAAATAAATTAGTAATACTCCAAAACATATCGATACATTGGAAAAATAAAAGACATCTATCTACTTATGCCACGACAATAAAAGATCATACCAAAAGCTTAACAAATTTTTGATTTTTAGAATTATGTTAGAAAAATAATAGTAACTACCATATGAGAGATAAACCCCATAACAGCATAAGTTGAGTAGAACATTGTTTTCAAAGTCAAGATTTAATTACTTGCTGCAAAGGGACGACACGTCTGAACTCTCCGTAATGCCTTCGAAGATAGTCTTCCAGCTTAGGAACATCTTGCCTCTGAAAAATGTCCCAGATAGCACCACATTTTTGTTCATCGAGGCATTGATCGTTGTTTCCTGAGGTTGAAGTAGGGGTGTGAACGAGCCGAGCTCGCCTCTTTTGGCTGGCTCGAGCTCGAGCTCGAGTCTGTTTTGTCGAGCTCGAGCTCGAGCTCGAGCTCGTCGAGTTCTTCTTTTTTTGGCTCGAGCTCGAGCTCGTGTTAATTTTGTCGAGCTCGAGCTCGAGCCAATTTCTTTTTTTTTTTTTTTTTTTTAAATATTTTTTAATTATTATTTTAATTATTATTTTAATATTAAAAATTATTTTTAAAAAATACAAAATAAAAACTAAATTGTGATTATATATTTTTTTAATATTAGTATTTATTTCTATAATATTTTATATTATTATACATTATTTAAATAAAAATAACATATAAAAAATAAAAAATAAATAAAAAAATAATAATTAATCCGGCTCGCGAACTGATGAACAACTAAAATCCGGCTCGAGCTCGCGAGCTCGAGCTCGAGCTCGAAAACCTGGAGTCCGAGTTCGAGCTTTTTACGAGCCGGCTCGTCGAGCTCACGAGTCGGCTCGGCTCGTTTACCACCCCTAGGTTGAAGGATCAAATTTTTGCTTTCCTTTATTTTTATTTTCCCTTTCAAATTGTTGATTTCTCGTGGCATCTTGATTTGCTTTCCCATTGCTTACAGAAAATACCACTGGATCTTGGGCAATGTGCTTCATTCCCAACTCTACTACTGTTGAAAGATCTTCCGGATTAAGGGACGTTTCAACTGTATGCATCAAGACATTGACCTAAAACAAATTAAAAAAGAAAGCAAAGTTAGTCATCAACAAAAGGAGGATCTTGACAACAAATATAATAAAAAATCAGACTTGTTGTAGTCACTTGTTCGTATGTTCCATACGAACAACTTAGGCAATGGTAGAAAGAGATCTTGAGTGAAATCAACAAGGAATGTTAAGTTGAATGATTTAGGTAACAAAAATATTAAACATCAAGAAAGACTCCTAGATTCCTTCGACAACCTGCATAAACTTTCTATGGACAAGCACCAAATTAAAGCACAAAGCTTACATGTGTAACATATAACACAAGAATAAATATCTTTACCTATTAAACTATTTAGTAGTTTAAGTTAAAGTCTTTAAGTAGGTAGGAATAATATCAAACATAAAAAAGGACGCAAACATTCCTTTGACGACTATTAGAAAGTTTCTATGTTTATCTTGCTTGAACGATAATATGATATATAGCTCAAATATGGGGTGATCGAGTAATAGCAAAAAACTACGCTTGTAACATCTCATACTAGAGTAAGTATCTAGTAAACTATTTAATATATCTCATTTTAATTCTACATGTACTATTTTTGCACGAAGTCGACCAAATGCAATCTAGAAGCAAGATCCTTGGCTAAAGTTAAAAACAACTACGTTATGAACAAGTTGTTCCTACTCGATACCTAGATACAACAAAATCATTGTATTAGATTGAATAACTTGTATGAGAATTTGATAAATTCTATGTCTCGGATCTATAATATCCTTTTATTTACCACATGTATATACTATTTACTATTTATAGAAAACACCCTCACCCATTTTGACTCGCTTCAAATATGAAACTTCAAGTATTGAGAGATTACTCTTTCTACTCCAATAAGAAGGTTCACTAACAAACCACTTTCAACATAATTCTTATTGAAGATAATAATAGGTGATTTATACTTTATAGTCTTAATCCGTATTTTCTATTTAGTACGGTCTTAACGGTATTTTAGAAACTCAAAATTCCTATAATTTAAGATCACTTTCTTATGAAGTTATTTTTTATGTATTAGAATAGTATTAGGAGTTAATAAGTTCAATCATCATAATATCAACGCGGGGAGAAGAATTTCATCGCTATGCATTATTATTAATATGGAAACAATTTTTAGTGTTTAAAGAGCTTTGACATTCCTTGGGATTACATGAGGTGATTTCACATCCTCATGTGATGCTTATGAGTTCTAGGTATGTGAGACGCCAACATTTTTTATATCTCTAATGCGTTTCCTTCTCCTTCTGATACGATCCTGACAGGCTTGAAGATGAAGATTTGGAAGAAGAGAGAATGCGTGATCATGTGGGAGTTGGCCGTGAAGAATATATACTTGAATCAATACTTTGAGGTCCCCTTGCTGAGGAATTCGAAGGCAATAAAGAAAGGAATTCGTCGTACCAACCAATTGTCATGCGTCCAAAATCTCGGATGTCTCTCGCAATTTTTCATTTCGGATCATAACTCTCCGTCCAATATTGGATTGTTATGATTCAAAATGTTACGAAAAGCCAACAAAAGATCTTGAAGTTTCGTTCTTTAAAGGCAGACGGAATGCAAGATGGACAAAATTGGGCTCAAAGTTGTTGCACGTGCATACCCAAATCTCCACCAATTAAGAAAAATGACGTATAGTTGATAGGTTTCAAGAAAAGTAACATGTAGAATTCGTTTATGGTTAGAATTAGCTTAATTGTTAGTTTTCTTATTATAGTAAAGGTAGGAACTCTTTTTTTTTTTTTTGTGAGAAATAAGTCTTTGAAGCACTTATAAATAGGTTGTATACACTGCTTTCTTCAATATCAATTCTCCATCGCTGTTCTACAACAACCTTCGGGAATTTACAAGTTGTTTCTTGTAATTTTCTTTGCCGTATAATAATTGTTTTTGGTTTGATATAACCATGGGTCAATATTCCATCCTAATAATATTGGTTTCTAGTTCTTCATAGCTACAAGGTCCATATTCCATGTTAATACAACTTGAATACTTCCTTTTGGATGTTTTGTTCTTGCTTCCGCGTATGTATATTGGGTCTCTAGCAACTATTACGAGGCTCGTATCACCTTCTTTGCAACCACTTTGACCATTCACGATTCTTTTGTTCAACCCGTAGAAGATCACACAAATTGTATGACAATCTAAATGTGTTCCGAGCCTAGTATTGTATCTATAGGGGTCCCCATCAGTATCGAAACAAGTCGTGCATTAACGATAATCGATAGATTAGGTAGATCACTAGTCGCTAGTGATGTTGGCACAACGGGCAACCCTTGTGTCCCAATCCACAAAAGATTTGAAGTTACATAATCTTATTATACCCCAAAAATTTCCCCAATAAAGTAAGGCAAAAAGAGAAGTAAATCTACATAATTAATATATTTTATCCTATTGAAAGTTTCATAGTAAATTGGAATCAAAAGTTAACTCCATCAAGAAGAGGCTAACCATATTGCTCAATTATATGACTTTGTCATATTTCAAGAACCATGGAGGCTCACAGCAAATCCATTTCTCTTCTTCAATAAATAGTTTGTGATCGAACTTCTATGCCTCTACATTATTCCGAATTTTTTCATGACTATTATTCCTAATTGAAACTCAAGTCTAAAGCATACTCAACATGATTCTATCTTGTGTATAATGAGTCAACAATTAAGATTAACATAATACATGCAAGAAAGAAGAATTAGGACTGCGTTGAATAGATATAAATACCCACGACTTCATAAGAATATTCTTTGGGAGATGTACTGCTTCTATCGATGCAATAGGCGGACAATCGGAAATGATTTAAAGCAATTCATATATTCTCATAAATACTCAAGTTAATAAAGAAAGATAATAACAGAAAAAATGTACCATATCTGAAAGAGCATACTGAAGCTTGGTTGCAGAACAGAAGCCAAGGTCCTCGTTGACTCCATAAGCAAAGCATATTTTTGGACCCAAATCCAGCTTCAACGACTTCTTCGATGTTTTCGCTGGCATGTTGAGGTAGCCAGCTTGATGTGTGTATAGCTTGAAAGGCAAGCATCTAATGAAATCTACAAAATGCCGAGGCAGCCGTTCTTGAAAGGATTCAGTTGGAGGCCAATCCTCCAACTTCAAAATTTTGGGCCGGCCTTCACTATCCAAGAGGCCTTCACTATCCAAGAGGCCTTCAAAGTACCCATTGAAAAATTGGTGCATGTTTATAGTTTCCTGTGTGTCATAGTCACAAAATCAAATCATTACAACACCACATCTTTAAGTTAATGAAAACAAAAGTATACGTGCATAATGCATAGGAACTGACAGACTAAAACCTACATAAGAAGTGACACTTAACATAGCGAATATAAAGGGTAAAGGTGACGTATATATCGGTCTCATTTCAATTAAATAGCAAAAAAAACATCAAGAGCAAATCTATCAAAACATCTCTATTTTAGAGAACATGTCGAGGACGACGAATCGTCAGATCTTTGCTTTATCCTATCCAAATTCATGTTAGACACTTATTAACCCAACCAAAGTTTTGACATTTTGAAGGTTGACACAATATGAAGAAAAGTTTGCACCGAAACTAAGGGCGATACGAAATTAGTATTTTTGTTACTTAGTCCTTCTTTTGAAAGATTACATGGGCCAATAGAATACTACAGCCCTTTGCAGCAAGTGAATGCTCAAGAACATAAAGAATACAACCTAGAAACAGTTACAAGAAATAAGACCATGACTGAGAAAAAAAAAAAAAAAAAGAAGGTATACGATTAAAAGGATGTAAAATAAGCGAGGTCCAATCACAAATTCCAAATTAAAACTAATAAAAGGATGTAAAATAAGCGAGGTCCAATCTCAAATTCCAAATTAAAACTAATAAAATGATGTAAAATAAGAGAGGTCCAATCACAAATTCCAAATTAAAACTTTTTGATTGATAGAGGAAAACATAATAGAGAAGTCGGCATACCTTGCACCAATTTACGCAATTCGTTACGGTGAATTCCAGAATGCGAGCGTCATTAGTCCTTCTAGATTTGCGGCAACCACGCCACATGACTAATGGCTCCCAACTCAACCTAGTCGTCCTGCTGAGCACGTCAGGGACTATCACAGGCTCACCTTTATATAGGTGCCGTTGGAAGTGCTTTTGGTCAACGCCCACAACTGTGGGACAACGGAAATTACGGACTGCACTCCATGAACATGAGCACGCTTCTTCAGAAACGTCACCCACCTCGAGATCTATGGACTCTGCTTTAATTAGCAGTTCCGATACCCAGTTATCTGGATATGTGGACTTTAACACCAGATTCCCATGAGCACATCCTCCCATAACTTTAGGTGGACAAACTATGGTACCTCTGTCTATCAGCTTCCATTCAGAAGTAAAACTTGTGTGGTCCATAGAACAACAGGCTGCTGCAGAAAATCTATCATTGCTTGTAAAAGTACGACCCCCATGATGAACGTGATATTTATCATTTCCCCATTGGAAGCCATTCCTTATCTCTCGGCAGCATGTTACGCATAGCTTGTACGCACAGTTTAGACAACTTCTGTGGATATCGAATATTGCAGTCTTACAGTTGTCGCTGCATAGCACAAGTTATAATTATCAACGTTTTGCATACTGGAGCAAACATTTATCAGCAAACATTTATCAGGAAAAGGGCATAGGTTAAAAGTATCCACCATTTGACTTTATCGTCGTGGATAAAGTTGGCTTTCGGAAGCTGTAGTCCCGCAACTGAAACACCTGCCCAACCCAACATATATATATATATATTATAAATTTATAATTAATCAAACAATGAAACTACATCTGCTAGGGAAAATCAAAAGTCCTATCAATTATGTTTATCTCCAGGTACGTCTCAATAATACCTCAAAATCATAAATCACTGAAATGGAGTGGCACATACAACGGAAACTGTTAACATATAAAATCCTTTTCTATTTATTATATTTGTTGAATAAGCAATTCAATATACATTTTTGGCAGGATAATGGCTGTGAGCAGTGGTGATGGATCATCGTAGTAGAATTGATACAATGATTGTAATGTATATGAAAGTTGTGGAATTGTGGAACCGTACTTGGTAGATCTTGATACAGATAAGAACAAAAGATTTAGATATTCGTGCTGTTTCCGGAGTGTTTAGTAACACAAACAAAGGCACACCTAAAAAAGAATCTCCCTTCTAAACTTCAATAATGCATAGTGCCATTAAATACCATTTTAGGACTCTTCGATTTCGTTTGGAGGCATCAAAATCGATACCAGTAACAAGAAGATAAGAGATATCAAATTAATTTTCCAAAGAAAAAGTGTAATACAGGTGAACGTTAAAACCTCCAAACAAAAGTTAAAGTTACCTTGAAGTCTTGCTTCTTGATCTTTTTCTATATTCTGCTCAACAACAAACTTCCTAAAAGAAGGAAGAAGTACTCTAATCATATATTTAGAGTACTGGACCTTTTTGTTGATGTCAAGCTGTAAGTCTGGTATGAACAAGTCCTAACATGCAAGAACAAGAGACTTAATTAGAAAACATATAAAATACTATATTAATATAAAATCAAGAGAAGAACCTTAATACTAACTTTATTCTCCAGATCAGAATGTATGCAAGCTGTACAGTTGCAAATTTTGCGGCAGCCTGCGCATGCTTGAGCAAAGTCTGCCTCTTGCAGCCCTCTGTACCTGTGATTACAACAGTAGTAAATCTATATGTAAGAGCATCGACGATAAAATATATATATATATATATATATATATATATATATATATATATATATATATAATGAAGAAAATGCAGGAATAATGTAAGTGTAGAACCAAGGGAAGCTCTCACTTTGAAACATGTTTAAGCAAAAATTCATTCATAAATGACTAAATGAGTAGTAGATATATTCCAAAGAGAAAATAATAAATATACCATCCTCCTTTGTGGCGGTAAAACTCAAAATTAACCAGTATGACTTAAATGACATTTATCCATATTACAAAAAATAAACCACCAAGTAAGATATACCAAGTACAAACATAAGAGCAACACAAAATATATCAAGCAACAAAATTTCTCACCATTTATTGATACAGAGAATACAATAACCCCTATGCTTGCACTTGGTGCATCGCACGGCTTTTTCTTTGTCATTTCTATAATCAACAAATACTCACCAACACATTCAACCAATTACCCAAAAATCATGTTAAAAAGTAATGAAGTATATATAAATATAACAGCAACCATAGGTTCTCCATAGTTTCTAGCTACAATTAACATAATGGTATCATAAGAAAGGCAAACACTAGTGCAATTACATTTCAACATCCAGTAGAACATCAATAAATTAATAAACTCGTTTAAATAATAATTTCTCACAGTCTGACTCGGTAAAAACATATTAAAATTACTACTTCAATAAATGTAATATTTCGCAAAATTAACAGTATTTTGCAAGCCCCGATTGTATTAATTTATAGAGTTTTAACAGCAATTAGCCCAAACAGTAAATTTCATGGCTTACAATCTGGAAATAGCCATCCTTCAAAGGCTCGCAGCAAATCAACAATTAGAGTGTGTTTCTTTCCGATCTCCTCTTCACCAGCTCCATCGCCGGCTTCGCAGTCTCCTCCTCCCACGGCGGCGGCGGATAACGGCGGGTCACGGCGACGACGGTTGGCATGGGTATTGCACTTCCACGTACTGGGTTTAGTGAGGAGAGATTAAACTGATCATCATCGGAAAAGGGCTTATTTGATCAATTTGTAAGTATGTATATTATAGTTTAAACCCCTTGAAATAAGTGTTAATATCACCTCAACCCCTCTAATTAATACTTGTTGCAGTTAAACCCTTTTATTATTGTTGTTTTTAAATTGAAGAATCCAAAACGTTTCTTCGGCTTATGGTGTTGATGTCTACTCACATTTTTTATTATATTTAATAAGTAATATTGTTGTAGCAACAACACTGCATCAACAACATTGCATCAAACTTTCTCAATTTGGAAAGACACACACATAATTATGCAATTACTTCTTATATAATTGTAGTCTTTTATATAATATATAAATTTCTTAGTGAGTTTATAACTAAAAATGGATTGTAGAAACTACTGATTTGCTAGTTGATATTGTATTTATTAATGTAAACTATTTACACCTCGAATGGGATTATTAAATAGGCTATCAAAACCTTCAACCACCATTTTCATACTAAAAAACAGTAATTTTAATTCCAATAGAATTATGAAATATGGGTTGTATATTGATATTTCATCTTTTGGAATGTAAAAATACTTCATGCGGAATAAAATATCAAACATGAGTTATGAATTTAACTACCTCAGTGTCCATTTAGAAAATGACACGTGGCAATTAGATATATAAATCAATTTAATTATATTTAATTAACAACCATTTAATATCTATGGTTGTAGCAGATTAAATACCACATAAATATTTGCAAAATCTTTTGATACTTTTGAGTTGAAGTTGCTCTAGCATATGGACTTCTTCGACCCTACACTCGGTGATAAACACCGGTTGGGTCTTCTACTGCCACGTGTCCTTTTTAGTATTTTATAGTATATTCCCCCGCTAGGGTTTACCTTTAAGGGTTTTTGCGAGAAAAAAAAAAAGACGTGGCAGCAGAAGACCCACCCGGTGTTTATCACCTGGTGTAGGGTCGAAGGAGCCCTAAATATGCACTTAATTATATTTATCAAAGTTATAGAGAAATATTTATTAGTGGAATACGATATATAGTATATACGATCATTATACATTTTAAACAAAACAATTGATATTCTTAATTTTCGGTATTAAATAAAGTGAATAAACAAATTTAATAACAAAGATTTGGAATAACATTGTTATATTTTGAAATATATGAAATCAATATTTTTTATCAATTGATTAAACTTAATTTATGTTCTTCAATTTATTAGTATAATCATGAGAAGGTTTATATTTTAATTAGTATATAATTAAAATAATTAAATCAATCATAAAATTTATTGTCATTGGATTCGGTGAAGAAAAAAGAAAAAAGTTAGCAATAATAAGAAATTCATGTAGTATAATTTTCAATACAGTAAATAAATGGGATAATATTAGTGCACTCATGGCATGAAAAAAAATACTGACAATTTTCGCAATATAGTAAATTCGAACATGTATCTTTCTTTTATACATATAATATTAATATATAATATTAAATCAGTACCATAAAAATTCATATATAATTAATATCGAATGATTTATTCTGCATATTTTTTTTAATATAAATCCAAATTTATGAATTAAAATATAAAATTTCTGTAACATCACCAATCATGCAACTATAATAAGAGAAGACATTAAATTGAATTTAACTAAATTTAAATTAAATTAATTACTATTAAAATTAAATTTAAAAATAAATCTATTTATAATTTCCAAGAAAGTTGATATATTTAGAGATGTTATAAATGGAGGTATATAAATATATTAATACAATAATAAAATATATTTAATTATCTTTAATTTTGGAAATGATGACATGTTTTTTTATGATTTATTTTCACCAATCAATTTGCCACATTGGATGAAATTGAATACATGTCATCAATTGAAATTGCCAAATGTCAAGCAATTTTCATAAATTATCTTATTAACAACGATTATTGTTATTTTACGTCTTAACGTTTGCTTATACCCTTATAATATTTTAAATAATTTTAATGTGAGTTTGATAATATAATTAAATATTAATTTCTAATATATTTAATATGTGGTTTTTGATGCTTTAGCGACCACACATAAGAAATTTGATATCAAGATTCGAGATTGAATAGAATTGTTTTTTCTATACTAAATAATAGATCATTGCAAAAAAAATGCAAAATCATAATTTGTGATAAATATTAGTATTATAATTAGAATTATAATTAACATTCTTTGAATTAGTATTAGTATTAGTACTAGAAATAGGATTCAGATTGTAATTAGGATTAATATAATATTATAATTAATATTAGGATTATGATTAATATTAATATTAGAATTATAATTAATATTACGATTATGCTTAGTACGATAATGAGTGACATGTATTAGTATTAGGATTATGATTAGCATTAGGATTGAGATTAGAATTATAATTAAGATTATAATTAGAATTAACAATAGCATTATCATTAGCATTATTAGTATTAAAATTATTTGGCTCATGATTAGTGTTAGGACTAGGATTATGATTATGATTATGATAAGGATTAGAATTGTGATTAGTGTTATGAATAGGATTGGGTATAGGATAAAAATTTGGATAATATTAGAATTACAATTATAATTAGCATTAGCATGATACTTAGCATATCAATAATAGCATTAGCATAAAAATTAGCATTAGCATTAACATTAATGATATTAAAATATTAGTAATAGAATAATAGTATTAGTATTACTATTAGTATTAGTATTAGTATTGGTATTGGTATTAGTATTAGTATTAGTAATAGTATTAGTATTAGTATTAGTATTAGTATTAGTATTAGTATTAGTATTAGTATTAGTATTAGTATTAGTATTAGTATTACTATTAGTAATAGTATTAGTATTAGTACAAATATTAGTATTAATATCAGTATAAGTATCCGTGTCAATATTAGTATCGGTATCAGTATACGTATCAGTATCAGTGTTAGTATCGGTATCAATATCAGTATATGTATCATTAGCATTAGATCATTAGCATTAAAATTAGTTTTAACATTGATATTAGTATTAGTAATAATATTAGTAATCTAGTATCAATATTAGTATTAATATTACTATTAGAAAAGTATTAGTACTAATATTAGTATTAATATCAGTATAAGTATCCTTATCAGTATTATTATCGGTATCGGTACCAGTATCAGTATAAGTATCAGTATCGGTATTAGTATAAGTATAAGTATATGTATCAATATCGATATCAGTTTCAGTATCAGTATGAGTACCAATATTAGTATCAATTTCAGTATCAATATCAGTATCAGTATCAGTATCAGTATCAGTATCAGTATCAGTACCAGTATCAGTATCAATATTAGTGTTAGAATCAGTATTATTAGTATCAGTATTAGTATTAGTATTAGTATTAGTATTAGTATTAGTATTAGTATTAGTATTAGTATTAGTATTAGTAATAGTATTAGTATTAGTATTAGTATTATTATCAGCAACAATATATATTAGTATGAGTATCAATATTAGTATCAGTATGTATGATTATGAGTATTAATTTTAGTATGAGAATCAATATTAGTATTAGTATTAGTATTAGAATTAGTATTAATATTAAAATGAATATCAATATGACTATCAACATCGGTATCAGTATTAACATCAGTATCAGTATCAATATCAGTATGAGTATCAGTATCAGTATCAGTATCAGTGTCAGTGTCAATGTCAGTGTCAGTATCTGTGTTAGTGTCAGTATCAGTATCAGTATTAGTATCAGCATCAATACTAGTATCAGCATCAGTATTAGTATTAGTATCAATCAGTATCAATATCAGTATCAGTGTTAGTATCAGTATTAGTATCAAACAATATCAGTATCAATATCATTATTAGTATCAGTATATGTATCAGTATCAGTATCAATATCAATAACAGTAAGTATAAGTATTAGTATTAGTATTAGTATTAGTATTAGTATAAGTATTCGTATTAGTATTAGTATTAGTAATAGTACTAGTATTACTGGTAGTATTAGTATTAGTATTAGTATTAGTATTAATATTAGTATTAGTATTAATAGTATTAATATTAGTTTAGTATTAATATTGGTTTAGTATTAGTATTAGTATTAGTATTAGTATTAGTATTAGTATTAGTATTAGTATTAGTATTAGTATTAGTATTAGTATTAGTATTAGTATTAGTATTAGTATTAGTATTAATATTAGCATTAGTATTAGTATTAGTATTAGTATTAGTATTAGTATTAGTATTAGTATTAATATTAGTATTAGTATTAGTATCAGTATTAGTATTAGTATTAGTATTAGTATGAGTATTACTATCACTATTAGTATGAGTATTAGTATTAGTATTATTATTATTAAAAAAATTTTTGGCCAAAAGATTTTATTATTCCATTTAAGATAGATTTTATT